TGCTTGTGAAAGAGAAAGAGAAGGGGAACTCAGAATCATCTTATGTGAACACATTGTCACAAGAACCTCCACAAAAGCCTGTTGTTACTGAAACTGCTTCACAGGAAGAAGAGTCTAAGGTTTCACTGGTGGCCTGTAAACAGGAAGATAACAGTTCTGCCAAAAGTGATGTATTTGATTCAGACAGCCCACATTACACTGATGGGGTTCATTCTTCACTCCTAGAGGGTGCTGATTCATCTTATCCTTTCGAACCAGACCACTCTGATTTATTACAAGATGGGGAAGTTAACTTGAGTAAAGGCCTGTTGCATCCTCCATACATCTTTCCAAAACTCCAAGACTACTACGATCACTCCGACCCGCCAGCAGGTTCGTGTAATTTTGGATTCCCTGTTGAAGATCATCCCTTTTGGTCTTGGGCGTACTAAGTTATATCTATAATCAATTCTGATACATAAATTTGAGATCTTGTATCATTACTTCTTGTTTATGTCATCTTGTAACTATAAATAAGCAATAAAAACCAATCAATGGCACCCCAATCAAATGTGTGTTGGTGGTGGGTTTTGATTGTAGTTGGAAAAATTGGTGATTTTTTTTTTTTTTGGCTCCCTCTGTAATCCTGTTTATCTCTGGGTTCTTAGAGTTGGATGAAAGTTTTGCTTTGCTGCCCCCGGAATGTAATCAAATAACATCTTTCTAAGAAGAGTTGTTGCCTGTTTGAAAACAAATAATTAGTTTGATAACCAAAACTGCCCCTCTATCAAATTAAATTAGCGTTAGGTGTAAATTAATTAGTTTTGCCCCATTAAAATGAAATTAATGATTTAAATTATATCCCCAATCAACATTTTCTTAGTGGCCCCATTAATCAAATTTGGGAAGCAACCCATCAAAATGGATGGTTCATATTGCTGGTGATACTTTCACTTATCCTTTGGAAGACTTTGATCTTAGCCATAAGAGGGGCAAAGTCAACCATTTAAGCCTAAATTTGAGTTGTTCAAGCAAGTTTTGAAAAGACAATACAAATTACTACATGACACACTTTACAACCCATATGGTAAAAGTGAAGCATTTTTCCTAGTTCATTAATTAAAAATAAATGATTCCCCTTAATGCAAAGGAAATTTTCCATGAAAGAATGACATTGCAACGGTCTCCTGCCCACAAATTGTTTAAGAACATTGTTTGGTGAAATCAAATTGGCTTGCTTCTTGCCCCTATAAATCAACAACAAGAAAACACATGTTAACATAGCAAAACTTTTAAATCATTTAATTATTTTTTTCTACTTAATAGTTGATCTACACAAAGCCAAAATTTTTTTTATTTCTTTGATCCCCAACGAAAGTGACATTTGAATTTAATTTTTGCCACAATTACTTAACATAATTACAAATTAAATAACTTCGCTTACATTTCAACTTTTATATGATGTAGGGAAAGAGATTAATCCCTAGATAGAGTATCTTTTATTATATGACTTGCTCTTAAAGCATGGCATGGGCAAAACATATACATGATGTGCTTTTATGATAATGACAAGTTATAGGTCTTTTTTCTTTTTTTTTTAATGAAGGGAAGTGTTACCCAATTTTATAGGATCCATAATAATTTTAGTATTTTCATTGAAGTCCTTCAAATAAAAAAAAATATGTGAATTTATCGTTTGTTACTTTTTTTTTTTTCAAATAAAAAAAGCCCTTAATCCTCTGACGTTTAGACCAAAGAAAGCAGTACATCTCTTTCCAATATCGATTTATATTCCCCTAAATCCCCTTTGACATTGAGGGGTTCCTATACTTGTCGCTTTTCAAAAACTTCCCAAAAATTGAAATGTAATCAGAAAATCTTATTTAATTACCCTATATTCCAATTTAAAAACTATTTGATTTATATATATAGTAGTAATTTTTAAGTGATGGTTAAGTTGGCAAAATCAATTTCAAATTACAACCAATTTTCAAAGATATAGTATGTTATTAATTTTTTTTTTAAAAAAAGATAAGATATTTTTTTATTAGGTAATCATGCTACTCAATTTAACAATTTGATTACAGCATCCAAAATATTGTAATTGGATAAGGCGCAAATTTAGCATTTTTATTTATGGTGATGGATTAAATTTGTCATTTGTATTTGAATGAGTATAATTTTTATCATTGTATATTTTTAATATAGTTAAAAATATATATAAAAAAATAGTACTCATAGATAGGGGTGTAAATGATACATTAGTACTCGCAAGCTACTCAGGTTCGATTCAAAAAAAACTCAAATTCGATTCGATTATTATCGAGTCGAGCTCGAGCTCGAGTAGCTCGACTTATCGATCGAACCGAATTCGAGTATTCTTATATCTGATTCGAGTAGCTCGCGAGCCTAATCGAGCTTTTATATTTAAATATATTTTTATTATTTTAATTAATAAAATATTTTGAGTCCGAGTTCGAGTTCGAATTCGAGTATGAATAATCGAACTCTTGTCGAGTATGAATAATCGAACTCTTGTCGAGTATACGAATCGAGCTTATTTTTACATATTAATCGAGCTTAATCGAGCGAACTCGAGTAGCTCGAATTTGATCACAAATCGAGCTCAAGCTTGAAAAATAAAATTCGATCGAGTTCGAACCGACTATCAAACTCCGAATTATGAGTCGAACTCGAGCTCGAACTTCTCACTATTCGACTCGACTCGACTCTACTCGTTTACATCCCTATTCACAGAGAAAGATACCTAACAAGCCCCGTAAGCTTAGCTTGATTTGGTTCGGGTTCTAGATATGACTAAAGGCTCTCCTATTAATAAATAATATATTTTAATTTTAAAATATTTTTAATATTTTAATAATAAAGTTAGCTTAAGTGGATGATTAGGGAATAGCAAAAATTGTAAATTAGTCAAATATGAATAAATATTTATTTTTTGTTGGCTAAAGGGTATAAAAATCGTTGAATTATAATTAAAAGATCATCTAAACTCTTTTTTTTAATTATAATTAATCAATCTTTCAAATATTTATTTGTATTCAATTAAATTTTTATTTGGAGAAAAATAATAACATCATTAAATTTTTTATTAATTAAAATAAAATTTCATGTAAGATTAATAAAATAGATAAAAGTTTATCACGTATTGTAATTAATATATGTGAAAATTAAATAAAATAACTTTTTTTATTTTCTCTCCCCTCTCTCTTTGAGATCTTTTTAAATATTCAATCGATTATAGTTTAAATATTAATTGATTCAATTTTGTCATGAATTAAATTTCATCTTGTTAAAAGTTTAATTGAGTTAAAAGAAGATTAAGAGTTTGATTGATTGTAATAAAATATTAAAGATTTAAATAATTATTAACTTATAATTCAAAGGTATTTTTTACCTTTTAATCTTTTGTGTTTACGATTTGTCCATTTATTTAAGATTATTTGTGTTTTATAAAAAATTTATATATTATGTTCGAGTTTAACTCGTTTAAATATTAAAATATTTAAATTTGATTTGAAATTGATTTAGTTAAGTTAAATAAATTTATTTGTAAACATTAAACGAATATATTTATGATTATATAAATGAAATTAAACTAATAATTAAGAAATAGATCATGCAAACTAATGACTTGGGCTTCCAAGAGCGAAAGAAACATTCTTATTTATAAAATGTTTTCTTTCCTACATAAATTTTCAAGTTACGTGGAATAAAAATGTTGTAAACAAAAACTCTCCTCTATAACTTGTTTATTGTCTATTTTAGATAATTAAAAACTATATTTACAATAATATTTTTTAAAAAATTATAAAAGATTTTTAATGCATGGTTTTTAAATAAAAGATTTTAAATAAATTATTAAGTGTATTTTTCAATGTATTAATATTAGATTATGATTAAACTTTTGTTAAAAGATATTTAATAATAAATTAGTCATCCTAAAAAGAATAAAACTAAAATATAAACAAATATTTATTAAATTTATTCACGAACGTTAAATAAATTTATTAGTGAATATAAATGAATAAAATAAATTTGTATTTGTATTTGATACATTTATTAAATAAATATTAAAATATTATTTAAAATAATTTATTAAACTTAATAAATAAATAAAAATTAAATATGCTCACAAATAATTTATTAAAGCTCTATCCATTTATATCTCTAGAATCAGATTTAAATTTTATAATTTTCAATCAAGTTTAGCTCGGTCGATTCTCATTTATGGACACTTTTATTAAAAAGTTATGGTAATGGAATGTTGAGAGAGAAATAAAATAAATATTTTAATTTTTGACAATATTTTAACTAAATTAAAAGTACATTAATAAAATGATACATATTCAAAGATGAATGATAAAAGTTGATTCATTATGTAAAGTAAATGATTCATTATGCAGATAAAGATAGTTGTTTTATATAATTATAATTCATAATTCATGATTATAGATATAATATAATGTATCTAAACTTTATAAAAAATGATATACAGTATATATTTTTGAAGTGAAGAGTAAAAAGTAAAAACTACAGTAAAAAAGTTTCTTTTACCTTTTTTGGTTATAAAGGGCAAAAAGGTTTGTTGAGATCCAATTCAAAAGGTAAATTTATGGGAAAAAAGTTTATGAAATGGGTAAAGCTGATACTTTTTGCCCCCGTCCTTGAAAGTTGAAACTTTCCCATTACGGCAATTATGGAAAGAGCCAATTATTAAGGTCCAACTGTCCATGTTTCTCGAAGCACGAGGAACTTTTCCAGATTCCTACTCCATCTCAGACCACGTTAGTGGGGCTGCAACCTACGCCACGCAGTGAACAGTCTGATTAAACGTTCCCTATTCTTTTCAGTCAAATTATGCCAAAAATCTCGTAGTACAAAGAAAATTTATAATTTAATTCTTAGTAGTTTTTGGTACGTATGATATGTAGATTATTTATATATACAATAATATATATTAATAATTTTTTAATAAAATACTATAAAATTTACATATATATATTCAATTTATTTATTTAAAAAATAAAATTTTTGTTAATGAGACTTTTTCTTAATTAGTGGTAAGAAAAAGAGATCTTGAAACTTTGAGATTAAATGTTCAAATTTTATCATATGTGAGTTTGATAAGATTTTATATTAGATTTGTTTAGTTATATCTTAATATAAATATTGATTAATTTATTTGTTTAATTTAATTAAATAATTTTTAATATCAATCTAATATTTGAACAATATTATTGTTAAAGTAAAAGAAAATCAAAATTTGCATTAACTCAAAATTCTTCATTAATTTTACGTTATTTAAATCTATTTTAGTTAATTTAAATCTATTTTAGTTAAACATAAATTAATTTTATTTAATAAAACAATAAATTTATATGTTACTATTATAAGAGTAATGCATGTATATTTTGGTGCAATTTCAATAATA